TGGTTTTTGAAGCTTCTCCTCCAAGTTTCTAAACCTTGGTAGGTTAGGCTGACCTTACCATGGTTCTTAAGTGAACCATGGTCAAGGTTAGCTTCTCCTACAAGTTTTAGAAACCATGGATGGTTAGCTACACCTTACCATGGTTCCTAGTGAACCATGGTTAAGGTTAGCTTCTCCTAGAAGCTACCTCTCCCTATATATTTGTAAATCTCTCTCTTGTAATCACTTTTGAACATTTGAGAAATAAATCTTCAGATTTCTCTCCCAAAAGTCTCTCCTAAAAACCGTAGAGAATTCTCTCTTTAGGTTTCTACCAAAGGTGTTTCAACCTTTGCTTGGTTCCTCAAGCTTCTACCTCAAGCTAAGGAGTAACCGAATCCCTTCCTTGCTTCAACCTCCATTGAAGGTTCCTTCATGGAGATTCAAGCCTTATTTTGAAGGTTGCCTCAAGAGTATTTCGGTCCTTGCATGGAAATCTTGGAAGAACATTCATCTTCTCCAAGTGCTTCCATCATTTTTGGTATCAGAGCCTAGGGCTCTTGAGGTTTTGTGTTCTAACTTTTCTTGTTGAATCCGTGTTGTTTCTTCCTTCTCCTATGTCTAAATATGTGTTTTCTGCATGGATCTAAATTTTCTAAAAAATTTTTGATAGATCCTATATGTCACATAAGAAGAAATTGATTCATGTTTTTGCTTGTTCCTAATCCGTGAATCAATTGTTTTGTGCTTTAGGTTCCTATACTTGTGCGTTTTGCTTTTGTTTGAGTCTCTCAATTCTATAACATGTGTCCGTGATTGGACTTCATTCACATTGCATTAGTTTTATTTTTGAATCAATTGTTTTGTCATAGAAGTCATGTGTAGTCCTTTTCAGGTTGAAAATTCCTAGATTAGCTTGTTGACCTAATTTTTTGTGTGTTGTTTGTGTTTGAAATTTTTTGTGTATTTTCTTATTGAATCTGAACCTTACCTATATGTGCTTTTGTTTTACATTTTTGTGTTCATAATTTGCTATTAGTTCTAGAAAATTTCCTAGATTTAGGTTTCTATTATGTCTTGTTAAAAGTTTTGTCAAAAAAATTACTAAACACTAATTCCTATTAGGATTCCTTGAGTCTTATTGTGTGGCTGAAACTTTTAACAAATTTTATAAATTAGAAACAGAGGCAAAAAAGAGGTGTATGTGTTACAAATGCATGAGAAAAACAAAATAAAATAGTGCCTAAAAATTTGACCTAAAAATACTATAAAATTGTGATGCACTAGCGAAAACATGCTTGTGAACACCTCTTGTTTTGAGAAAATATTTTTGCTGCAGTCTTTCTAGCCTAAGGCCGAGACCTATAATTGTTCAAAAGGCATTTAAACTCCTGATTAATCAAAGAAAAAGAAGTGAAAAATATTTTGCAAAAAGAAAAGAAAGAAAATAGCAAAAGAAAAAGCCAAAAGGAGTGAAAAATTTGTGTGAATTAGCTCTCGGTTTTGGTGAAATCTTTGCCTATTAATTTTCAGTCCAGCCACATATTTTGTGTCTTAATTTTGTTTCTAATCTTAGCTTTGTTTTTTTAATCCATTCTAGTGCCTTTGATAGGTTATCCTTTGTGTGCTAGCTTTCTAAATTTGCCTTAATTTTTGCTTGTCTTTTTTGTGGAACTCCTTCTAGTTTGTCTCATTTCATTCTACCAAATGGTGTAGCCATTATAAATTGTGCCCTTTCAGTTTTAGCACTAATATTCCAGCAATTGAAGGTGGTTGAGTGCTTCTTAAAAGGTGTAGGAGGCCAAGTCAAAGGAAGTCAACTTGAAGGCTTTGGTGGTTGCTTAGAGAGCTTGTTCTCTCTTGGTGGAAGGTCTCTTGCAAACACCTAGAAGTAACCAAATTCAAGGTTTCTTCTAAAAGAAGAGTGATACACTTGTGAGGTCTGCATGCTTGGTGGCTGAAATTGGAAGAGAAGGAACAACAAAATTTTGAAAATTTTGTGAACTTTAGAGACCAATTTTAGTGACGAAAATTTTTGTTACTAAACCTATTTTTCCTTACAAAATCCGTCTCTAAAATTTGTTTCTAATTAGTGGCTAATTTGTTTTCTTTGAAATTAAGTGCAGCCACTAATTTCATTTGATTGTGAATTTACATTTCATCTGGTGTGAATTTACATTTCATTTAAGTGTGAATTTGCATTTCATTTGGTGTAAATTTGCATTTCATTTTTCTTGTAAATTTTTAATTCTCCATTTTTGTACAAGGCCTTTATTAAGGAGTGTCTTGGAGTGCCTTTGGTGTATCTCCATCTCTCCTTAAGT